CATATGCTTGGCGTGTTGAATGACAGTTTTTTTTTTATAAAAAAAATTAATTAAATGAAAGTGAAATTAAAAGGGGTAGCTGAAGTAAGAGAATTCTAAGCATATTCGTAAATGACTTTTTTCTATTTTCAACACTAATTAATGTGAGTGTCATTTCTCACATGGTAGTGATATTAAAAGAACAAATCATAGTCGTTGAATAGTTAAGTGGACTAACGTGGCAAAGATCAAATCATGGCTGTGAGTCTGTGATTGTTAGATTAGCATTAGGATTATGTAATTGGGAATTGGAGAAATGGATGATCCTTTGGAATCTACCATAAGGAAAGAGAAAACCAAAATTGGGGATTTGAGAATATGTTTTTTTAAAAATAAATAGGAAATGCTCTCTCTAACGTAGTTTAAAAATGTACTCCTTCCGTCCATCTTTACTTGTTTACTATACTAAAAAAAGTTTTCCAACAATACTTATCCAATTTAAAAAATCAAGAGATAATTGATCTTTTATATCTATTTTATCCTTGACATTAAATACTATTCAATATCTACATTTTTCAATTTATTAAATTTAATATATTCAAAGGGTAATATAATCATATTATTTATTATTTCTTATTCACTATATCAAGTTTATTGTAGACAATTACTATTAGACGGAGAGAGTAGCTTGTGGAGTCTACTTCTATATTGTTCAAACCTTTGGGGTTATAATTTGATCGGAGTGACTTTCTCTTGCCTTTTTAAGGATTTCAAGAATTGAACAGTTTAAAACAAAGACTAGTCTCCAATCCTCTAGTAGTAGTAGTAGACATGTAGTTATATCAATATGTACTATTACTAGGATGGATGAGATTCCACCCCGTATATCTAGAGGTTTTGTGTTTAATTATGAAAAATGAGAACATATCTCGTAGAGCGTGTTTTTTTCTTAAATTAATTTATAAGATGTGAATCTGAATTAATCGAACTAATGGATTTCAAATATGAAATGGTTATAAAATAAAATAAGAAGTTAGACTAATAGTTATACTCTTTCTATTTTTAATTACTTGTCCATTTTTAAATTGAAATAGTAAATTTACTATTTTATCCCTATTAATTATGAAGTGAATTATTTAAAAATTTAAAATTTTCAAGAAGTTATACTTGTTTCATAGTAATTAATTGAGGATATAGTAAGTAAAAAGATTGTCATTTCTTGATTAGTTAAAATAGACAAGTAAAAAGGAACAAATAAAAAAGAAATATTGGACAAGGAACAAAATACTAATTTATCCACCCACAGCGGAAAATATTGAAAACCAAAATCAGATAATTAGGTTGGCGTGTGTCCTTTAACTAATTATATTGAAGGTTTGGAGTGATGACTTCTTCTCTTTCTCAAGATTGGTTTTATTCGTATATTTGAATTTTTTTGTTAACATGCATTTCACAATATTTTTTTATTTTATTTTTATTTAGAAAGTCAAGATATTTGATCAAATTTATGAAGAAAGTGATATTAAACAATAGCAAAAGTGAAAAGGGTAATTACTCGTAACATAAGTTATGTTTTTAATTGTTCAAGACAAAATTATCATTATAAATAATTTTCATCTAAAATTAATTTTTGCATGTTATTTATAGTCTCTCCTAATAACCATTTCAAATAACTTATTTATTTAATTAAATACTAAACAATAATGGAAATCTTTTAAAATGCTCTTTTTCATGATTTTACACTCAAATTTATCTTTGAAAATATTGTCCCAAAAAATTGCCATATCCATTTCCAATATGCTTTTATTGAAAAAATATTGTCCCAGAACATCTTCGCATGGCACATCTTTTAGCAGCGGTAAGCTTGCCGCCGGTGACATTTCGGCCGGCCGGAGGGCACTATCTGCGATTAACTACAAAAACTCAGGCAATAAGAGCAGTATCGCTTGAGGAAATCCCCCCAAATGCGGTTCGACGGAAGCTCGATTCAACATGGAGAGGAGGTTTCAGTCTTGGGGTGGATTTGGGTCTTGCCCGTACTGGACTTGCCCTAAGTAAAGGCTTCAATTTTCGACCCTTAACGGTAACCCAATTTCATCCGCAAAGCTCTCATACACCTACATTCATATACTGGAACTTTGATTTGGTGGATTTTAGGTTTTGGAGTTGAGAGGACAGAAGCTTGAGCTTCGAATTATTGATATTGCCCAAAAGCAGGTATACAGCTTCTTCATGTTTGATGTAGAAAGATTAAATTTTTATGGTAATTCATAAGCTGGTTATTGATGTGATTCTTCTTGAATATGATTTAGTTACTCTTTTCATTTTATTTTTGTTAAGAATTAAATTGATATACCAGTATCTGGAGTTTCATGAGTATGGTTTTGTTGGGAGGTTAGGAAGTGGATGAGTTTATAATTGGACTCCCTTTGTCAAGTGATGGAAAGGAAACTCCACAATCTAACAAAGTTCGGAGTGTTGCTGGTAGGCTTGCTGTTCGAGCTGCTGAGAGGTAGTAATCATTTAGCAGTTTTTGTCTGACATTGTTTTCTTTGTGAAATCAGGCTAAGAGATGAAAAAAAGAGATAAAATTGCAGGCTAAATAGATAATAACATCTCTTTTCTGTTGGTTGATCTGAATTGGCAATGTGGGCCAATTTCAACATGCTGGTTTTAGAGTGATCAAGTTGGTTGTGTGAAGTATGCTGTGATGTTGCATTCTATACCTGAGTAGCTTCAAGTGCTAGTGACATTGCATGTTTGTCAAATTTGACGATGGTCGCTCTCTCGTAAATAATAGAGGATAGATGTTCGACTCATCTAATGAAGATATTGTTAGATGAGATAGTTTAAGTCATTAAAACTGCAAGAAGGTATCATGCAACATGAAGCACTCACTTGAACAAGAAATCTTGTCCTGCCTTGAAGCTTAGTACATGTCTCTAAGCCTAATGACAAACGGACAGATCAAATATTTGGAAGTCTAGTGGTTGAACTATCTAGAACATGCTTGCTTGCTATGCTTTACTAACCAAAACTGATCTGATTATTACACACTGGGGCTACTAGTTGACTTCCTTTTTTTAGAAACCTTTGAGCTAGTATGCTTTGGTTTTACATTCTTTTTATAAGTTGGTTTTACAAATTATTGACACTAAGTTCATCTTGTAGTTCACTAGTCATTCTCTCGTGACATGTTTAAATTCATTTTCTTAAGTGGTGAGGGACCTTCTGCCATAATTTGTCATCTTAAATGTCAATTCTGTCCTTTTAGGGGATGGAGAGTATATCTGCAGGAAGAGTACGGGACAACAATTGACGCAATGAGCTACATGGTTGATAGGTAATAAGTTCTTTCGACTTATTCCTTTATTTATTGAATCAGTTGCAGGGAAGCGCTTTCATTCCATCAACGGCCAATTCTTTCTCTTACGTGAGGAAATATCTAGGATCTGCAAGGAGGAATCATGATCTCATTTGGACATCGATGAAGTTTGTCTACCTCTCTTGCTAATAAATTGATTGTCAAATGTATATGAGAAGGGAGGGTATCCTTTGAACAGTCTGTTACAACTTGCAAGAAATTATTCTGAAGTGGCAGAAACATCTATTAGTAGTAGATCTTCACTTTTTTTCCCATTATAAGCAAGAAAAATTATCTAGTTAGGAGCTAGAATGAAGATCATTAGACCACAGTCCTAATCCTAGTAGATGGAAAAAAACTACTCCCTCCGTTTCACAAAGAATGACCTAGTTTGACTTGGCACGAAGTTTAAGAAAATAAGAAGACTTTTGAATTTTGTGGTCCTAAATTAAAGTTATGTCAAATGTACAAAATTGCCCTTTAATCTTGTGGCCTTAAACATGTCACATGGAAAACTGAAATTAAAATGATACCAAAAAAAGAAAGAGGTCATTCTTTTTGAAACAGACTAAAAGAGAAAGGAAAGAAAGGAGGTCATTCTTTTTGAAACGGAAGGAGTATGGGATTTTTTCTCATATGTGCTGGTGAGAGGATGCAAGTAATCAATGGAACTATGATAGCATGCTAGTTCCACGGGGTTGATCAGTTATACAGAATGAACTTTGATCCGTTGATCATTAAATCTAACTTACCTCAGATATTATATTGCCAATGTGAGCAAATTCAGAAACATTAGCAATTAGCGTGTGTCGTATATTTGTTCTAATATTGTAATTAAAGTGTCTTGATGAAAACTGGCATAAATAGGTTGTTAGATAAGGTTCATGATGGGGCATATTAGACGAAGATAAATTTATTTTGATATCAGAATATTATAAAAATAAAATTCTAAATGAACCGAACAACTATTTTTAGGGGCCTCGGAAAATCTGCTCGTGAAGGGAAACAGGACGCCTATGCTGCTGCTGTATGTGTTCAGTTCAATTCATTGTCTTTTTTCTACTTCTCCCGTATATTTTTTTCAGAGAGACCGAAAATAGTAACTTATGATTAAGAACTGAACTTTATTATATAATTGTAGATGGTGCTTGAGAGGTACTTTTTAGAGTCAGGTCGGAGAATTGAGCTAGTGTTACCCAAGCAGTTGGATCTCCAAGAGAGGCTAAAGAAGGGGTGTTCTAAGGATGCTGATTATTCTACCGATGAATCTGATTAGTTGAATAATTTGCAATGCTTTCAGGAACCCCTCCCAAAACTTCCTAGTTGTAGGAAAGAAGGTTGAATAGATCAATACAGTTATTGTGATAACTCTAGCCACTTGAAAAGTACTTATACCTTTAGAAGACATGGATGGTTTACCCTATTATATATTTCTCCTGTATATCAAGTTCGATAGGAAAAGCACTCATGTATCTTTTTCGAGGAAAAGGTATAGGGATGGTCATGAATGTGATAGACACTGTATGCGATGAACTGATGAAATAACCTGCTTGTTGGGCATGCTGATTCCTCAAATTTGCTACTGCTGTTACATATTTGCAAAATACATGCATAGGAAGGGGTGTAAGCTATGTTGTTCGGACTCTTATAGAATACAACTAGGTGTGTGTCGGATCCTCCAAAAGCTATGCATATTTGGAGGATCCGAGCAACATAAGTTGTAAATATAAAGACATGAGTTGTGCTCAAACAATAAGATAAAACAGTTTCATTATAGGAGTCTCTTTGGGGTGTTAACATTGTCCTCGTAGCTATTGGAAAACAAATCCCTGCATAGCTCTCCATAGAACCTGCTCACCAGTTCAATGAAGACGGGGCTTTTGAGATTCTTCCAACAGTATAACAATTCTTCCACATCTGCCAAATCCCTCATTTTCCCCTCTTCCACAATCATCTCCACCAGATAATTCTCAAAGCTCCTGCATGCATCTTCCACATCACCCAGAACTGGCACTTCTTTTCTAGTTGCTGTACTCAATCTCACGTAAGCCGGGGTGAGGGGTGATGGAAATGGTGCTTTGTTGTGAAGTTCCACTTCTGAGAAACTCTTGAGCTCCATGACTTGATCCTCCTCTCTCCCTCTTCTTCTTAGCCGTTCAGTCTTATGTACTGAACGGCAAAACTTAAGTCTTCTTATAAAGAGGGGCTTTCTGAGTTTGAAATTGAATAACCTTACTATTTTCTTGCATGGATTGAAAAGCTTGCATTTGAAGCGACCAAACACTTTCACTTTCATTGTTGGAACCTTTATTTGTTGAGGAAAAGAGTACTGATAAAGCAACAAACTTGGGAAATGATTGTTTTCAGGTTTATCTTTCTTTCAATTTGGAAATGACAGGAGAGTTGTTGATGTTCCGAGACAAAATGTTAGTTTGTTGAAAGGTTGGTGTGTGTGGGTGAAATATGGTGGAAGGGGTACCCCTTTTTCTAGGGTTGGGAAAATGATGAGTTGTGGACAACACGTTTCATATTGAACTAAAGGTGGTATGCATGAAAAAAATGTCTTCAAAACTTTGGAGTTGATAAAATTCCTGTAGAGATTAATAAATCAACATAATGTGTCTATTCGATTCCTGGAAAAACCAGAATTTTAATTATAATTCTTGATCCGTGTTGTTGAATCATTCAAAAAGAATGGGTAAATAAATGATAAGAAATCAACTAGGAAATTAAGCTCAAGGAGAGAAGAAATGTACATCATGAGTGTGCACAAATATAAGATGAACATTGCGTACCCAGAAAGAGTTAAAATATCTAATTGTTATTTCATACGATTTATTTGGACGAGGGGTGGTAATTTAATAGTCACCAGGCTATCTATTATTACACCATTTATCAACGAAGAGAATACACAACAAAATACAACAATGACGACTACGCCTCTATGTCAAACTAGTTGAGAACGATTACATAGATCTTCTACGTTGCCTCCATTCTAGTTGGACGCATTTCAGTCCAAATATAATACCAGGAGTTCACCTTTAAGCATAAAGAGCACCAGCTCAGCTTGATTGTTATCACCATAAAAGGACAACGGTATGCCTAAGCAAAAGTTAATGAGAATTTATACAGAACTCCTCCTCTTTTTTCTCTCTTTCTTCCTTTTCTAGACTAAAATTTGGCCTGGATCCTCTAGCACAAATGAAGAATCTTCTTATTGCAACTGCATCGCCAGAGTGAAATCACTTCAGAACATTATTATTTGGGATCCTCCCAACTGAAATAATATGAAACAAAAACAAGAAGGCAAAATTTAGGAAATAGACTCTTAGGGGAGGGGCCTCTGGAGGAGAGAGGAGGGGAAACGTAAACAAAGACAAGTGGAAAAGAATAAACCAGTAAAAGAGAGGATCCTCTACCCTTGGAGCCAGCAGAAAATGCCCAGTTCCCACCCATAAATTAGAAGTCCAAGATGCATTGCCAGCAGAAACATAGCATAACTTCAATCACTCAGCCCCCTCCTGACGTAAGGTATCTTCAATCCGAGGATGCTCAACCTATCAGAAGCAGCTAAAAGGTTGCTTTCCCTATTGACTGAGAGCCTGCTCAAAGCATTCGATGAACTTAGCTATAATACATGACTCCTAATAATTGATTATGCAGTGTCAAGATTATCATTTGCTTAAGCCTAGGTGGGTAGAATTATCCAGTACCTGCGCTGGTGGAGGATAGCATATACTTGGTGAAGTATTGGAGGCCCGGTCACCACTGTTATCAAAGAGAACGCGGACACCACCATTTCTTCACATGGTATCAGAGTCTTCGTTTACCTGATCTTGGCTCCCATGTTATATTGTCCATGCTCTAAATGTCCAATCTTGGGTGTATAGGGGGTGTTAGAGTCTCACATCGGTGTGGGTTGGGGTTGTGTGCCTCATTAACAATCCTCACCTCATGAGCTAGCTTTTGGAATTGAAATAGGCCCAAGGTTCAAATCTTAACATGAAGGTTGGAGATATGGTATAATGCCTCAGAATGTCCATTCAATTCTAGCCAGCACCTGAATAATGCATGAGAATAGAAACTTCTCAGAACCCAAGGACTCTCGATGAGCAAGTAGAGTGCTAGTTCACTTCAAATCTTATGAGCCACGATTCATCAACTTAAGAAAAAACAAAAAAAATGTTAGAAAAGAACATAGAAATAGCACTTACTAGACTTTTCAAAAATCTCTTTTCAAGTAGCAAATTGCCTCATTAGATCTAGTAGTGCACAATTTAATACCACAATGATGATATGTACAAATTCATTTCAACAAGGGCATCAAAAGTTCTTTAAATACAAAATTCTAGTTTGGTGAAAATTAAAATTGTAAACGAGTGGAGAGTTCTCTAACTTTGGAATAACTTTCAAGCCGAACCAGGTAGCATAAACTGTCTCCAACATGTCAATGTGGTCATAATACATTGACATGGTCAAGTTCAGACAATGTTTGATTCTATTGAATGGAGGAGCTCCTTAACTGTTCCTTGATTTTGACATCCAGTGAAAGCTGGTCCCAATTTTTAAAGGCAAAATCCCAACCTATATTCATAACACCAAACAATTTAATTGCAATTTGCTAGAAGTTCGCAACATAAATTTGAAAACCAAATCTACAAAAGCAAAAACTTAATATCAAGCAACTGTAGGGCAAAAGAAGATCTTACCCAATCACGGCAGAATGAGCGGCTGTAGAATTTAGTCCAACTCTAGTAGAGGCAGTTGCAAGTTGAGATTGATCATTAAGTCTTTGATAGTGATAACAATAAGCTGATACCAAATAGAAGGACACAAATGATTGAGACAAACCTTTGAGTCTTTGATAGTTATAGAAGCTAACAAGAAACTAATGGCAAATAGAAGGAAAGAAAAGATTAAATCATTAAATGCAGATACTTTAGAGTTTGAAGAGTACAACATCAAACAAAATATACCATGTAATATTCAGATTACTCAACTTATGAAGACCCAAACTTCAATGTTTAGCATAATGTCTTTCCTTCTCACTGGTTTCATGGAGATGCTTTTAAGAAAAGGTAAAATTCACCCGTATACAGGAAGAAACACAACTCTTTGATACCTTCGTGGAGATACTTACAGCCTATTTGGATTGGCTTAAAAGTTGGTCAAACCTACTTTTAAGCCATTTTTAGCTTTTGGGAATGTTTGACAAAGTTAAAAATAACTTTAAAAAAAGTCATAAATGACTTGAAAAAAGTTAAAAACCAAAAGTAGGACTCCCCCTACTTTTTATTTTTTGACTTAAAAGTCATTTAAAGTTTGACTTCTTATTTTTTGGAACTCAAAAGCTACTTTTTTCAGCCTATCCAAACGGGCTCTCACACTATCTTTATGAACATTATTTCTAGTTTCTAGAAGCTCTTTTTATACAATCAAGTCATTATAAGTTTAAAACTTTATTCTTATGCAACCAATCATTTCAATCTAAGAGGATGGAAAAAGACACAAGAAAATACTAATGGCATCTTGAAAACTATACACGTATTTATGGTTGATCTGAAGATAATGTATGAGCTTAACATACCTTCAAGATGTAAAATTTCTGATATTAAGATACCTCAGAAGCCTCAATGCTTGGAACAATTCTTGGGAGCAGCTTAACTTGAGGTACTGAATTAGATTCATCGTTGCATGGAAGAGAAGGTATCTCATTTTCCAAAATAGAATAAGCATCCGCAAATGCCTACAGAAAGTAACTTTTATTAGAATAGTTATATGCAGCCAATATTCAATGATCATAATTTTTAGTGCGTATTCTAATCCATTCAGTAGCAACTTCAGTCCCAAAATAATAGTGACTTAGGAACACCAACTTTAACCATATGTCAAACAGACGCACCCAAAGAGAATACCAAGAGTTTGTTACTTCAGGCTATATTAATTAAATGAAAAAGTAGACAGTCGCTTTGAGTCATCAAAAAGTAGACGGTCCCTTTTAAAGGACAGTATTTTTAGCTGACTTTTACATATTTGAGGTGTTAAAGAATGACAGAAGTCCCACATTGGTGGTTAATGAGATGGGTGGACTCCTTATAAGGCTTGGACAATCCTCCTCCCTTTGAGCTGGCTTTTGGGGTGTGAGTTAGGCCTAAGAACTAATTTAACACGAGGGCATTAGAGGAATTAATGCTTTTCACTTTTAACTGACATATGCTACCTTTTCAATAAAAATAGATCACATGTAGTGGTGGCAAATGGCGGGTTGGGTCAAATTTGGGCAGGTTGAAAATGGGTCAACATAAAATGGGTAATAATTCAACCCACCCATATTTGATATGGGTAAAATTGATTGGGTAACAAATGGATTGGGTAAAATACTAGTTTACCCATATTTACCCATATTTTCATGAGTAAATAGTGTTCTACTTTAGAATTCAACATGGAGAAAATATTTTAGTTTTTTTTAGATGAAAAATGTTGAAAATGCTTCATTTAGTTTTATTGTATCATAAAAGTAAAAAAAAATAAAATCCTAACTTTTCAATATAAAATAAATTTATGTAATAACAAAGGGAAAATATTTTTAATTTCAAAGTAAAGGAATAGTTGCATTTTAGGACTAAAACATGCTTAATGCACTTTAAGGCTTAAGCAATGTTAATACTAATACATGATTTGCTTATTTTACACTTTTATTTTTTATCCAATATAAAATTAAACAAATAAAAAAATATAATTATAATTAACAAAAGAAATGTACATTTAAAATATATATTTTTGGAGGGCCAAAGACTGCACCTTTTCAATTATAGAGAAAAATAATTAGTTCTATAGAAGAACATAAAAAGGAAGAGAAGTTACAATTTTTTTTAGTGATATCATGAATTTTGAGTGAATAAAAGTTAGAAGCTTAACCCATTTGGTTAATCCATATTTTACCCATATTTTTATGGGTTGAATGTGGGTATCAACCCATATTTTACCCATGTAAAAAATCACTCACCCAACCCATTAAAATATGGGCGGGTTACCAAAATATGGGCTCATTTTGCCGGCACTAATCCCATGCCATTTGAGAGATGTAACAAGAGATTTCTGATTCAAGCTTTTACATATGCAAATTACACTCAAAGTAGAGGAAGTACTGTGTCGAGATTGAAACTTAACAAATTAGTAGAATAGTGAAGTAAGCAAACTGATAGAGGGCGCCACCAAGAGTGGAGCCCAACGCTTAATTCACTTGCATCAACTGTATTAATATAAGAAAATTACCCAATGAAAAATCGAAAGCTCCTTTAATCCACGGGTGATTGAGGGATATGTCTGGTTAATTCATTAACCAACACGGGACCACTGCTAGCCAGCCTAGAAGGAATTCCTTGTTGCCAACCTCTTCGGAGATTCAAATACATTTTATCCTATTGATTTTTAAAAGCTAAGAAACCTGAAGTATCACAAGTTCTCCATTTTCACCCGACCCACAAGTTTTTCTAGTTCTACTAACATCGTGATCATAACATGGACTTATATTTCTTGCTTATTATCCAATTTCATAAAAAATATTTTCTAGAAAATTTATTACAAGCAATTCTAACTAACCTTGATGCATTGGTGTATGCGAAAGCAG